TGAGAAGTAATTTGAAGGCACTCATTCACAATTCTTTGTCGCAGGTCTTCTGATGATGTTGGCTGAGTAGCATAGATTTTGCTTTTTAAATGACCCCACAAAGAAATCCAAAGGTGATAAATCTGTCCATTCCATTTCAGTCATGTCACTCATTAAATATTTCTGCTGTTCTATTAGCGCACTGATTATTTCCTAAAAATATGTCGATAATTTCAACTCTTTCTGCTGTGGAATATACCATGGTTAATTTATGTAATAAAGCGTTACAAGTTATTTTAGCAACAAAGTTTGGTCAAAACAATCGCAAAATATGTACTAAATTCCTATTTAAAATAAGTACGAGATATTTCCTTGTCTTTCTTCAAGATATAACTTTTTTGCCACAAAAAACGCTCCAATAGCTATTTTCAACAACAAAATGATAAACAAACCATGGGCGTAGTGAAAAAAAGCATTAACTTATTAAGTAAATTCTTTTAGTCAAATATCTTCTGAAAGTAGTACAAATTAATATGATGTATAGTCAACGCCAAACAAAGTGGCGTGCACGTCATCACGATAAAAATTCCCCGACCTAATGCCTAGGTTTCTATCACAAACAATTGCTCTATTGCAGTTTCATATTAATGTGATATATAAATTGTAAAATGGTCATTACTCTCTTATTATGGTTAATAGTCATATAAACATTGTTATTAAAATATCACATAAGTTGCTTTCTGATAAATTTAGACGCATTATGCGAAATAAAATGTTTTGCAAACGCTCCAATCACTTATCGACATGTAAACGCACTAAACCGATTTCGCAGCGTTGACACATTGTCACCTTGAAACTTATTTAAACTGGGAACTGACATTTGTATTAATTTTGACACTGAATCAATTTGTGGCATTTCAAATCTTTATAAATCCTTTGGCCCCGCATACTGTAAATCAACAACTGTTTGTTTCAAAACAAAATTATTCATTTTACGAGTAGATAAAGGCAATTTTGATATATAAAGATGCCCAAACAGTTAAATAGTCGGTGTAAGGAACTCGTGGCCTCGTTAATGCACTACTTTGAGCAAGAAAGGGACAACAACGGGCCTTTGTTGCCTTTAAATGCTGTTCAAGAGGTAGGTTACTAATAATTATATGTAATGTACGTATATATTAATAATAGTGAAATTTTATTTCATTTTTTGTAGCGTGTTGCTGCTGCTTTAAAAATTAGTTTAAGGACAGTTAGTCGTATTTCCGAGGGTGTGAAAAGTGATGCAAATTTAGAATCGCCCAAGAAAAAGCGGAGTTATATTAAACGTGTAACCAACACAGCGACATTGGATACAAGTGCCATTCGAGAAGTGATCTATAATATGTATCACAAAAGTAAGATCTTATTATAATAACTTATCAGAAATTTGCATTAATTTGTTAACTAAATTATAATGTCATATTACACATGTTTTCAGAAGAACAAGTTACGATACAAACTTTATGGTCTCGATTAAGAGATAGGGCATTATTTGATGGTAGTGCCACGTCTTTAAGGCGGTTGCTTAGAGATCTTGGATTTAAGTGGCTTAAGGACAATCCGCGACGAGGGCTCATGGAACTACCAAGTATAGCTTTGAAAAGGGTGGAATTTCTAAGGCAATACAATCAAGCCAAGGTTGAGGCCTTATACCAGTTTGTCTTCCTCGATGAAACTTGGATATTTCAAAATGGGACCATAGGTCGCTCTTGGCAAAATGGAAACCAAAAAGCGTGAAAGCTATTAAAACAGATGGTAAAAGGTATGTACTTTTACACAATTTGCACTATAAAATTTAAAACTAATATATTTTAGATACATTATATTACATGCTGGAAATGAAAATGGGTTTATTGAGGGTAGTGAAGCGATATTTTCTTCGAAAACAAAATTGAGCGATTACCATGGAGAGATGAACCAGGACAATTTTTTGAAATGGTTTCAACATCAGTTATTAGAAAAATTGGAGAGTCCATCTATGATTATACTGGATAACGCCCCTTATCACAGCATGATATTGAACAAAGTGCCCAACAATGCATGGACAAAAAAAAATATCCAAGACTGGTTGACAAATCAAAACATACCATTTTTAAACACAATGTTTAAAACAGAGCTATTGAGTATTGTTGCTCGGTACATAATGCTTCTTAATTATATATATTTTGGTCGACAGTTTATATTTCTTTTGTTTATTCCTATTCTTAAAATAACTGCTTTTTTAGAAACAAACCACCTAAAATATATGTGATTGATGAATTTGCGGAACAACATGGGCACAAAGTTCTTCGTCTGCCTCCTTACCATTGTATATTTAACCCTATTGAGTTAATTTGGGGCATAGCAAAAGGTTGCTATAACAGACATATTGGTAGAGATGGTAACAGTGAAAAAGACTGTTTGGATATGTGGAACGAGGCTCTACAAACGGTTACCCCAGACATGTGGAAAAATAGTGTTCGACATACTGAGCAAGAAATTTTTAAATGGTATGAAAGAGAACGAATTTTTGATCGACCAGACATCGAACCTTTAATAATCAACTTTGAGAGTGATGAAGATTCAGATTCAGACAGCGCTGAAGAAAGAAACTCCGACTAACTTTATTGTACAGAAAAAGCTTACACCAGTAGCTTACCTAATTTTAGAATGCATTTTTCTGTATCAATTCTGTAAAATAAATACCATGCATAAAATTTGGAGGACCCCATTAGGATTTTTATTCAGTACCTTTAAGCTATCAATTAAATATGGTAGTTTCATAGTGTCATCTGATCAATAATTGTCATACTTAATGATTATGCAAGTACAGATCTATAATTTTATTATACTATTATTTTTGTTCTCATTTGAGGTTAATATTGCTTATAAACCTAGATATGTAAATAATAAATTTTATTATTTTACAAAAAGTTTGGCAACAATGTAAATTTTTCAACACCTTGATGACGTGCACGCCACTTTGTTTGGCGTTGACTATACCTATTGAAGTCTACTTTAAGCTTTAAATCAATAAATCTTCAAAAGTATTGAACTGAAGCTCATGTATTTTACATCATTATAAAGGGAATTGAAACACCTTTAAAATAAGGTATCACTCGACCTCCCTTTCCATTTAATATTTTAGGGTGGGTGTCACCCCCGTCCAGGGGGCTGCTTGTGTTAACGTGATTTTTTGCCAAACTTGTGCCAGTAAATGCGTCCGTTCCGTTTTCGATGCGCTACCCTGTATATTACTTATAAATGCGTGGAGCATCTATGTATCTTCGGCATAAAATTGTATAGTGAACGACTTTTCCTCTGTTTCTAAATCTGAGATTCTTTAATGATTATTTCCTTCGTCTTAATTTCTACTAATCACAAACGCGCAATTTTAAATTACAAATGGTTAATAGATGGAAAAATTGTATGACAGCACCTGACAGCAGTTTTTCCGAGTTGACCCGCGGCAAAACTTGACAGATGTTGTCACCAAAAAGTACCTTTGATAACAAGTAATTATGGTCTCCTAGGACACCAGAACACGAAGCTGAACAATTTTTCTGATTTTATTGTCAATAAATTTTGTAAGCTATGTGTATGCAGAATATAATGTTACGCAGGAAATAGTCTGTGAAAGTAATATTCTTTTATCAAAAAACATTCATGCTTCATAATAAAATATTACTTAGCAAGGTATTTTTTTGATTTTTTTCGGAAAAATTAGATGAACTTATGATATTACTTATGAAAATAGCAGGGGTTCTAAGACAGATACATCAGAACAAACTCTTGTTCAGTAGTTGAATATTTGAAAGAGGTTTTTCAGAAAATCTATAATAGCTGTATCTGGAAAAGAGGTCAATGATTAATTATCTCAAATACTTTAGTGACGTCAAGAAGTAAAAGTGGTAATGATCCTTGGTTAAAATGATTACATTGACTGATAAATCCCAGAGTGCTGAAACTGCATTGTGACCTTGTCGAAAACCAGATTGTGTAGATGGGATAAATTTGTTAGAATATAATTCCTTTATCAAAAAGCAACAAATTTTAGCCTCTTCATTGAGAAAGGTGTAACTTGAATCATGATTAGTTGAATTTATTTTTGTAGATGCTTACGACGTTCTTGTCAACGAACCAGGCCAAAAAAGTCCCGTTATTAACAGAACTGCAAGCCAGCACAGTACACATTTACAATATAGAAAATGAGTGAGTGAAAGAGAGCATTCCGTGAAAATTCATAAAAATGTTTAATTTCGAGCGTTTTGAATTAAAGCTTGGAGAAGCTGCTGAAAGCCCTACCATTGCAGTGCAATGGCCTAAAATACATATATGAGCGTAGACTTTATTATCTGCACGTCTGGCTTTCTTCGAAAGGTATAATATTGTGAGAATCTACATATATCTGCCGTCAAGCTTATGAAGCCTTTAGGTATAAAATGAACATATACATCACACACCTCCTACTGTACTGAAAATAGTTTGTTATAGAACTAAAGTTTATTAATTTATATAAATCATATGAAATGTACTCCACCAACGCTGTATTCAGTTTTAGAATGACAGAAGCATTCAAAAACAGGGATATTGTGCTCGCTAGATTCTGTATCAGCAGACCTAAATCACATACAGAGTTAGTTTTTGATGAAGATGAATACGAAAATTGTAGCCCTTACTCCGCGAATATAATAATAATAATAATAATAATGTCTTTATTAATACATCCACCTTTATCCCTATCAGGTGACACTTAACATAACTGATTGGTGATTCATGCATACATTTTTTTTTCAATCAGAAGCCCTACATTTTAAATAATTTAAATAATTTGTTAACGCATACAATAGTGCTTAATTTTCAAATTGTTGAGATAGTGGACAATATGTAGAAAGAAACGACTCAACCTCGACAACTCGGACCTCCACATGTATTATACGAGGGATGTCTTTTAAGTTTTGCATATGGAAATAAAACAACACGGTAGGTAGTTTTAAATGACTTTATTGTTTTTCGAAGTATTCTCCACGAAGATTAATACATATCTGCATGCGGTAGAACCAATTTTCGAAGCACTTCTTCCACTCATTTGATGGCAGATCCAAAACGGCATTTTTTAATACGTCAACTGCTTCTTCTGGTGACTGGAACCTTTGACCACGCAGTCTATTTTTAATTTTCGGGAAATTAAAGAAATCTTTAGGACTTAGATCAGGACCATATGGAGGATGGTCCAATAATTCCACGTTTTCTTCCATTAAATACTGCCTTGTTTTTTGGACTGTGTGCGAGCTTGCTTTGTCTTGGTGGAGGATGATTCTTCTTTCGGGGTTGATTTTTCGAAGCTCGGTGATGACTTTTGGCAAACAAATGGTGGTATACCAATCCGCAGTAACAGCTCTTTGCTCATTAAGAGGAAAGTTTGCAATATGATCCGCTTTTGACACAAATGTCGCGACCATCTTTTTCGAAACACTTCGAGAACGGATGACTTTTGTTGGCTTTTCTCCACCCAAACAGCCGACTGTCGTTTATTTTCTGGTTCATAACAGTAGATCCACGATGTATCACCACTAACAATGCTGTACACATTTTTTGAGTTTCCGGAATCGATACGGTTTTTTGACACCAATTAACCCTGGCTGCTTTCTGCTCTTCAGTCATGGTGATTTTTGAAGTTAAAAAACAAAAATAACCTTGTCCGGTTCGTCGAACTTTTTGATCTGATAACCGGTTAACCATGCATTTTAAAATAACCTGTTAAAACCCGTAAATCCAATTTATAAAACAGTTATTCAATTAACCGGTTCTTTTGCCCATCCCTATTGCCGACATAGGTTTTTTAAAATATTCTTATTTGGTTACGTTTTTAAGCATTTTTTCCATTAAACTCGATATTTTGCTTACAAATGCAAGATGTTCATACACTGCAATGATAGATTTCGAAGAAATTATGAGTTCATATGAAATCCGGTAATTATAAAGGAAGAGTACAATGTCCAAAACTACAGCTAGTCAAAGTTCTTCGCAAGATAACATCGAAAATTACAATGAAAGAACAGAGGGTAAGTGGCGGCCTGGCTAATTGAACAATTAGTTATTATAAGTACCATAGTTACAGCGAATTTTAAGTCTTACGTAGCAATATATTCTTATGAGTAGAAAGCTGAAAAAATTGTTTTTGTGATGTTTCAGAACTATATAGACCTTCATTCATCCCACAACATGTGTAATACTGGCAGAACATATACTAACTGCCCAACTAGCAAAGTAGTGCTATAAGCTTTTGGTAAAAGAACCGTTCAGCCATAAAAGCTCTCTATTGTTGTTGCCTGAAAACCAAAATTCTGGCTTAATGTTGTGTGGAATGCAAATTTGCTTTCTGCAACATATTTGCTCTAAAATGAGGTGTTTAGAATATTCTTATAGCATAGTTGCACAACACCTTATAGGACAAATTTTTAACTGATGCATAAACGTTTATACAACTATTTTATACGGCATATTTGCAGGTTAGTCAAAATGGTTGTGTTGTGGCATCCATGGTAACGTTTATAAAACAAACCCGAGCCTTGTTGTTTTGCTGTGGAAATTTACTACTTTAGCCGACAAAAGTACTTATACAACTGTTGTTTAGTAACTGCTAAATATGTTGGTATACAACTTCACCATAACCTAACTTTCTGCTGTCATATTTTAGTTAAAATGCCCTCACCAATGTTTTAAGACAAACAACGCATGCATATTGGTTAAAAAGGTTTTATCAACTGTTCAAACAGAAGATATAGATCTGGTACAAATTCTAGGTAAATCATTCGACTCTGTCGGTATTTCATTTCTGCCATTTGTCAAATTGTTGTATAACACCTGCAGGCAACACCAAAGTATTCTAATAAACTAAAGACAACATGGACGATGCCATGATTATACACAACCATCCGCCATATTGGGCAAAAATATATTCCTCTATTGAAAATTAATTAATTATATTTCAGTTCGACATTACAGATATAAAGTTATAAACATTACTGTAATTGTGTCTAAATATAGGATTTGTGGAAGCTTTAACGCAGATAAGTTCAGTTTTACATCTTAAAAATCTAGACATACTTTTGATCAATATCCAAATATGAATCAAATACGAAGCCCGTAGAAATTGCGTAACTACTTTGCGCGATAATCACAATAAAGTTTGCTGCGCAAGTAATTCAATAGCCCTATATCATAGTGTAGAAGTTGATGTAAGTAAACAAGATTACTGTATTGTGCTAGAAATAGTTTGGTTGCAATAAAGTATAATCACGTAACAGAATAGTTGTATAGTTGACAAAAACTGAATCTTGCACTGACGCAAATGTTCTATAGCGGCTGCAAGAGGCTTATACTTTTGTTGTATAACTGTTACCTGCAGCTCTTATACAACCTTTTAAATGACTGAAGTGTCCTATTAGGTGTGCCCATTCCGCTTGCATAGCTGTTCTAAGAGGGTTTTGCCAATGTTCTTACAGTATACTGTGTAAGGAATACTGTATAATCATTCTTGCAACTCTAATAGGAGTGATAATTGTTAGTTGGGTGGGGTATCCAACGAGAAACTAATTTTCTTACTCCTAATTCTTCATGTAATTTTTTTTGAATTGAGGTCTTTGTGATCTTCAAGGATGCCTCAATCTCGCGATATGTCACATGTCTATCTTAAATGATGAGTTTGCGCATAGCATCGACGTTTTCCTGGGTGACTGCGGTTTTTGGTGCACCCACCCTGGGATCGTCGCTAAGACTCACCCGTCCACGTTTGAATTCGTCATACCAACGGGAAATTGTCGACTGATGTGGTCGAAAACAGACAGTAACTCAGCCAGACATTCTTGTTGCGATAATTGTCTCTGAAAGTTGTAATAAATTATGGCGCGAAAATGTTCTCGGTTGAGTTCCTCTTTTATAATGACTTGGTGACACTTGAAAATTCACTGTAGTGAGAACACTGCACGTATTGCTGTGAATCTTTGAATTTAAGTTTACTAAAGAGTTAGGTGAAGATTCAGTACTGACGTTCGATCCACGCGGCCTACTATGTTTCTATATGCAAAGCTTAAAAGACAACCCTCGTAGCTAGAGTACAAAATTTTTCGTTAGGAGCTTTTTATGATCCCATACTTCTTCCCTACAGAGGCTTACTTTTTAAGTTTTTTTGATATTTAACAGCAACATGTTTCCAGAGCATCAGTTCTTTTTTTCTGGTCGCTAGAAAAGAGTCACCCTGTACTTGCTTGTGACGTTATATCCTTTGACTGTGATCTATATCTCTCAATATCTACAATCAACTTGCAGATTGGGGGTGAACCTGAATGTTCTACTTTACCCCTTTCCAGGTATAACAACTTCTTTAGCATAAAGATTAAGTGCAAGCCTACAACAATAAGCAGGTCTTGCACCCAACACTAGACAGATGTTCAGGAGGAGTAAACCATGTGTCTTATAAATAGATCAGAAGCGTGTTATCTTGTAGCGATAAGGCCTGTACGCCGTCGTCTTTGAGAATGCCGAGCTCATTAGGGGGGCATAGGAAAATCAACTGGATCAGCTTTTTATGAGGGCCGTACATCTTATCAGCAGTATTTCGTGAGTTTGAGTACGCAGCAAGGAGGGATGCTAATTAACATCAGCAGAATGTACTATCTAGATCTAGTCACGGTGTACGAAATGCATGAAGAGAGTCAAACGAATAAATTGTGTAGAGATGAATAAGATTCGTAATCTGGAACTGAATCATCAGATAAATGATCAAACTTTTATTTCAAATGCCAGTTGGCAAGGGAGAATTGTGATCACGAAAAACTTGAAAATGAGATGTACGCTTTTTTTAATGTTACATGAAATATGTACTCGTATTATACAATCCATGTCACTCGTTTTCGTCGGTGTATCGGTCTGTCTACCTGTCAGTCCAATAATCTTTGGCACAGCTTTGAAAGTACTAGCAGGGCGGTGATCAAATCATGACACACGATTAAGGCTATGCCAAGGACGAAAGCTTTTCGGTCTTTGAAAATCGATCAACTTGGTAGCAGAGCTGCAGGGAAAAAAATTATATTTGTTTACCTATATTAATTTTTTTTTACTACTTCCTCTCTTTTCTTATGCTTTTCTTTTTCTTTCTTTCTACCACTCCTTCTATGCGCTGTGCGAATATTAATGTCAGATCTCTCATAAATAATTTCGACAGTTTTAACCCAGATGTGCCCAATGGCCTATATGTAGTGCATCTCAAACTTGTCGATTCTTATTGAAGGGAGTCTGTAAAAATCGATTTATTCGTTCGTTTTGGTCAGTATAACGTTGTTCGGCTTAAGGTGCAGCAGCGTGTCGTAGTTCTCTGACAGATTGCTAGATTAGTTTGGGTCTAATTTCGGTATTTCGAGAAGATGGCTGAGTATGGCGTCAGGTTTGGAAGGTAAGCTGTATTTTGATTATTTACATTGGACTGAATTTCATACAATGGAGGAAATTTTTACATATAAAGAAGCCAGAAAGTAAATATGTTTGAGGCAATAAACATTATTGCCTATCTTTTTCACAAATTAGGGATAAATATAACCGTCTTATATAAAGTACATTGGGCAAATGCGGTTCTGCCACTTTTTATACTACCCTGTCCTTAGTGGCTACGCATCTATGAAATAACATTATTTCGCTGCATATTTTGGTACTACGGGTTTTTTTTTTGTTACAGAGGGTTTTCATTACATGAAGCCCTAGCTATGATAGAAGACGACGAAGTGGAGGCTGATACTATCACACTTTTTCCACCTAACAATGCTTCAGAAAATCTTACCGATGAAGATTCGGGCGAAGAAGACAATGTCGATATAAATAATTTACCAGCGTCTCAAATGCAGAGTGAAGTGGAAGTGTCTTCTAGATACCAAGTAAATGATGGATGTGATATAGACTCAGAAGACGATATACCCCTAAGTCAATTGGCAGACGCAATCAAAGTAACACGTAAACAATCAAAGAAGAAAAAACACTATAACTATGTGAAAGAAGATTTACAAACAATAACTAGTGGTAGTTTTGAGGAACTTTTGATCATGACCAATCTGAATGTTCTGCCTTCTCTCTCTTTAGTTTGTTTTTTGATGACGAGCTTTTTGAAAAGATTACAGACGAAACAAATCGGTATGCGTCACAAAAAAATCAAATGATGCGAGTAAGTGTTAGCGAAATGAAATATTTTGTAGGGGTGCTTCTTTTGAGTGGTATTGTTCCTCTTCCACGACACAGAATGTTCTGGGAATGTTCTAAAGATTGTCACAATGAGATTGTGGCTGAAGCGATATCGAGAAATAAATTTGAATTTATTTTATCCAATATACATTTTCAGGACAATAGTTTCTTAGATAAATCTGATAAGTTTGCTAAGGTCAGACCACTTTTTAGTCACCTAAATCAGAAGTTTCTGAAACATGCACACTGTGAAGAAGACCACAGTGTCGACGAGGCCATGATACCCTACACAGGAAGACATGGCTGCAAACAGTATATCCACGGTAAGCCCTTACGGCCTATGGCTTCAAATTCTGGATTGGGACTACCAGGCAAGGATATATAAATTGGTTTGAGCCTTACCAAGGAGCGTCTACAAACATTAGCAAGACCTACAAAGATCTTGGGGTCGGAACAGGTGTTGTGCTGGAGTATGCGGACGTTCTTAGGTCAAAGTGGCCGAAACCGAGGTTTCATTTATTTTTTGATAATTTTTTTTCTTCTGTTGTGCTGGTATAAAAACTAAATGAAAAGCAATTATTTGGAACTGGGACTATACGAGAAAATCGTATTCCTGGTAGCACGTTATGTGACAGCAAAAATATGAAAAAACAAGAACGTGGCCAATATGATTATATGAAAATTGAAGACTGTAATATAGGTTTTGTCAAATGGAACGATAATAATATAGTCACTTTTTGTTCCAATGCAGTTGGTGTCAATCCTCTGCATTATGTGAAAAGATATTCACAAAAGGACAAAAAGTTCATTCAGGTAGAGCAGCCACATGTAGTCCATTTATATAATAGGAGCATGGGAGGGGTTGATCGTTGATCGTTCTGATCAAAACATAAGCCTCTGTCGTACCGCTATAAGAGGAAAAAAGTGGTACTTCCCTCTCATAACTCACTGCATAGATATGGCAGTGCAGAATGCTTGGCAAATGCATAAAATATATGGCCGGACAATGGACCATTTAACTTTCAGAAGAGCTATTGCAAACATTATGTTAGTTCAAAACAAGAAAGGGTGTGTGTATCAAACACGACATGCATCTCAATTCCAAAATTTGGAGTTGCGATATGACCGCCTGGACCACTGGGTAGTACCACAAGAAAAGCAAACAAGATGTGCAGCTTGTCATCAAAAAACAACAACTCGCTATCAAAAATGTGATAAAGGGTTGCATGTCAAGTGTTTTTTTTATGTATCATACTAAACCAAAATAATGTCAATGTAGCATACCAAGTGCCCAATGTCCTATATATAGAACGCCTTCAAAAACAACTTTTTTGAATAAAAATGCAGTTTCCGAAGCCTTAGTTGTGTTTCTGTTCCCTATTAATGTCACTTAAATGCTAAACTATGAACAAATTGGAGTCACGACAACTTTGGGCATATCTGGGTTAAAGAGGATGTTGTTGACAGTAAGTATCATATAGTTGGCATTACAGAGAGTTGGTTAACTTCTAATATTGACAGTGATATTACTTCCTTAAATGGTTACAAATTTGTCAGGTGAGATCGCGTGACCCACGGCGGTAGTGTTTGGCTTTTCTTCACCTTGGAACATCCAAACAGCCGACTGTCGTTTATTTTCTGGTTCATAACAGTAAATCCACGATTCATCACCACTAACAATGCTGTACGCATTTTTTGAGTTTCCGGAATTGAAACGGTCAAGCGTTTTTTGACACCAATTAACCCCTGGCTGCTCTTCAATCAACAGGTGAGGTATCCAACGAAAAACGAATTTATCTTACTCCTAATTCTTCATGTAAATTTTTTTGAATTGAGGTCTTTGAGATCGTCAAGGACGTCTCAATCTCGCGATATGTCACATGTCTATCTTCAATGATGACTTTGCGCAAAGCATCGACGTTTTTCTGGGTGACTGCAGTTTTTGGTGCACCCACCCTGGGATCGCCGCTAATACTCACCCGTCCACGTTTGAATTCTCCATACCAACGGGAAATTGCCGCGCTTCGTCGCCAAAAACAGACAGTAACTCAGCACGGAATTCTTGTTGCGATGATTGTCTCTGAAAGTTGTAATAAATTATGGCGCGAAAATGTTCTCAGTTGAGTTCCATTTTTCTAATAACTTGGTGACATTTAAAAATTCAATGTAGTGAGAACACTGCACATATTGTTGTGAATCTTTGAATTTAAGTTTACTAAAGAGTGAGGTTAAGATTCAGTACTGACGTTCGATCCGCGCGGCCTACTACGTTTCTATATGCAAAACTTAAAAGATTATTAAGAACATTAGAGCGTAATTCCGTAATTAAGTCTGCGTTGTTTCTGTAACAAGGGTCTTACCCGTTGGATAAATAAATATACAAATATATATGATCTCTGGTCATACGATGTCTTTGACATACCGTTCTGAATACTTGGCAACACTGGACATGCGGGGGGCCAATTAAAGCAATTATAGTGAGGCTATTTCGGCTTCCGTCTAATTCGGTGCTTATTGTTTGGTTCATTGTACTCTACAGATTAATCCGACTCGAATTCGTATAAAAAACTCTCGGTTAATCTCGCATGAGTGAAGGGATGATGGTAGATCGACTTCAAAGCCCGAAAGTGGAGGCTCTTTACGGTCTGCCTAATGCCTGATGACCAATTTGTTCCCGATAAATCTGCGGTTGTTCTCCGTTTTCAGTGGCATAGAGGAGTAATTACAAGGCTACTATGACCTTTGATGGAATAAGAGCTGTGAATGGCAAGATTATATTACTCGCCACATATAGCCAATAGGCGCATGTTTTACGACTTGCTATGCAAACATTCTGTTATATGATTCTACGTTCTACATTGATTTTGTTTACTGACATATGGGCCATTGTGAATTTGGTACACAAGTAGATATACAGGGTTGCGCATCGAAAAAAAAACAGACGCATTTACTGGCAGGTCAGCTTTTTTTTAAACGCTCAGACCCATCGATTTTGTTTTCGAGGGGGACACGTTAGCAGGTGTAGCCCCCTAAGCGGGGGTGACACCACCCCCAAAATCTTAAATGGAAAGGGGGGTCGAGTGATACCTTATTTTAAAGGTCTTCCAATTCCCTTTATAATGAATGATATAAAATTAATGTACTTCAGTTTAGTAGTTTTGAAGATTTATTGATTTAAAGCTTAAATAAAACTAATACATCATCATTAGTGGAGATCAATACATTTGATAGCAAAGTAATTTAAAAATGAAGAATGAACTGATCCGTTAGGCAAGTAAATGTTGAAAACGTTGCCGCACATTTTGCAATATTTGAGGAGTAACTTGAATCCACTCATTCACAATTCTTTGTCGCAGGTCTTCTAATGATGTTGGCTGAGTAGCAAAGATTTTGCTTTTTACATGACCCCACATAAAGAAATCCAAAGTTGATAAGTCTGGCGATCTTGGGGGCCATTCAATGGCACCTCTTCTACCAATCCATCGATCTGGAAACCTCTGATCTAAGTATTGTCGAATACGTAATGCGTAATGTGGTGGGGCACCATCCTGTTGGAACATCAACCTATTCGGAATGTACTGCCGATCATTCTGATTTTCATTTATGGCTGTTATGACGATTTGCTACGCCATTTGAGAAAAAGGAACATTCATCGGAAAAGAAAGTGTTGAATAGAAAATATTCATCGTTTATAAATCGTTCACTCATATCTTCACAAAATTGTAATCGCCGATCAAAATCGTCATCATTAAGTTCTTGTACCAGGTGAATTTTATACGGATGAAAACTATGGGCATTTAGAATCCGTTGGTCACTACGTCGACTAACACCACACACAGTCTCCAATTTGCGGGTACTTAACGTAGGAGCTACATAAACTTTCCATAAAACCCCCACTTCTGTTGTTTCGTTCCTTATGGGATTTCCAATGTTGCGTTTTTTATTGGCGACTGACCCAATTTCCCGAAATTTAGCTACAATTACAAGAACATATTTTCGATGCACGTTACTGTACTCATGTCGCTCATTAAATACTCGTATATCTGCTGTTCTATTAGCGCACTGATTATTTCCGAAAAATATTTCGATAATTTCAACTCTTTCTGCTGAGGAATATACCATGGTTAATTTATGTAATAAAGCGTTACAAGTTATTTTAGCAACAAAGTTTGGTCAAATCAATCGCAAACTATGTACTAAACTCCTATTTAAAATAAGTACGAGATATATCCTTATCTTTCTTCAAGAAATAACTGGAGCGTAGTGAAGAAAAGCATTCACTTATTAAGTCAATTCTTTTAGTCAAATTTCTTCTGAAAGTAGTACAAACTAATCTGATGGACCTATTACAGTCTACTTTAAGCTTTAAATCAATAAATCTTCAAAACTACTGAACTGAAGTTCATGTACTTTACATCATTATAAAGGGAATTGAAAGACCTTAAATAAGGTATCACTCGACCCCCTCTCCATTTAAGATTTTAGGGTTGGTGTCTCCACCGCCCAGGGGGCTGCACATGTTAACGTGATTTTTTGCCAAACTTGTGTTCCCATCGAAAACAAAATCGACGGGTCTGAGCGTTTTTCCAAAAACAAACTGAGCTGCCAGTAAATGGATCTGTTTCGTTTTCGATCCGCCACCCTGAATGATAAACTTATACGGTATCATATAGTTCTATTGAATGACTTACGCAGCAAATTTTATTGTGGTTATCGTAGAAAATAATGACGGGTTTCGTACTTGGTTCTTATGTTAAATATATATGTCTGGATTTTTGAGATGAAAATCTGAACTTATCTGCTTTAAACCTTCTACAAGTCCTATATTTAGACACAATTACTATACACTAATGTTTAACATTTTCTATCTGTGATATCAGAGTCAAACTGAATCATTTTATTTCTAATAGATGACTTCATTTTTACCCAATATTGCGGGTGGCTATGTCTAAACACGACATCCTCCTTTTTTAGTGTCGTTCACAGGTGTTATACGGCAATTTAGCAAATCTCTAAAATGAAATATGAGCAGAGTCGAATAGTTTACTCGGAATTTGTACCAGAGCTACACTATCTGTCTGAACAGTTGACAAAGCCTTTACAACGAATACTCATGCGTTGCTTGTCTTGAAGAAGAAAAATAAATATGACAGCAGAAACTTAAGTTATGGTGAAGTTGTATATCGATATATTAAGCAACAAATCTATGCCGATCACATCAACTTTGTCCTATAAAAGTCACTTCGAGCGATAGAGAAATGCTTTACGATACGTGTCCGTGTGTCTGCACTCTGGCATCATGGGCGGCCGTGCCAGTCTTCGTAAGTGTCCTGGCATGACTGGCGCTGTGTCACGTTTGATACGTCGTGCGACCAGGTATCGGCGAGAGACGACGTTGCCACATGGACGGTACTACGGGTAGGGCAGAGAAGGAATGTCGATGAACTAATGTTCAGTGCTTTTTTGGAGATTCATCAGCTTGGTCTAGGCTTGGTCTCTGGGAGAACGAACGAAATCATAGCAACTTTCTTCTATCCAGTGTCCAACTGTCTAACGTCTAGCCTAATTTGTGATGGGCATGAGCTGGGTGGGATGTGCAATGTCGATCTATTTGACGCCATTTTTTGTGAGACAATTGTACTGAAAGATAAGGCTAGTAGATATTTACTCACTCAATGAAATCCTTGTACAACTATAGGTCGAATCCGTGCGATCGGGATTGGGTGTCACATGTATCTGCATTCTGCACCGTACGAAAAAGCTCGGAGTCTTTCGAGAGATTTGCATCTCCCTCTCTTGGTAGCTCGCTCCCTTTTAATTTCCTATATTCCCCATACTGCTATAAATCCAACAATATACCGGATGATTCTCCAAGGCGGCTCACCCCCATAGCTTTTTTATTATTGAAGATTGAAAAACGAAATTTGTGGGCTGCGTATTACAGAGTTTACATTTTTTGACATAATAATTTGACGTACTTTCGGTTTGACCGGAAACTACTCCAATTCAATGTGGTGCAAGCAACAATAATTGATAAAAGTGAACTTTGCCGCGGTCAAGGAGGAGGCAATTTTGAACACTTAGAGCACTAGTGGCATATCTATTAATTCTATTTTTTGTTATAATAATGATATGATATGTACTTAGTTCATTTGTATAGTTTACTCCAACATAGATTATTATAACACGTCTATTTCTTATCCTTCACTGACGATAAAGTTATTCGCATTTTCTTCTGTCCCCCAAGTCTAGAAATCACACTCCCTCTCTTTTCCTAAGACCCCGGTTTTCTATCGATTCGAACATACTTCATTCTTGAAATGACTCGATAGAAAGGAGAAAGGAAATCAAGACACAGGGTTGCCACGTTTGAGTAAACGTGTTAAGCCAATCAAAATGGAGATCATTTTGACAGTCAAAAACTAACCAAAGATTTTGGTCAAGATTTCCTCCTTATAATTTTATCTATAGAGCCGAAAACTAAAAAAAAACACATTACAGATGAACAAAAGGACAAAGAGACTAAAGAGTGAGGTTAAGATTCAGTACTGACGTTCGATCCGCGCGGCCTACTATGTTTCTATATTCAAAAATTAATAGACAACCCTTGTAACCCGCAAATTTCGTTTTTCTATATTCAATGCTAAAAAGGTTATAGGAGCGAGGCTCCTTGGAGAATCACCCGGTAGGTGAGTTGGCCCACCCCGTACATAAGTTACAGCTGGAACGAAATCCTTCCGTTCGCACCCCCTACACGAGAATGGATTAGAAACGTTATACGGGCTCAACGGGGCTTAAATGCGACTTTGCAGATTTAAGAAACCTTAGAGGAGCGTACCCTAAGGTATAATTTATTTAAGGTTTACCCTCGTTAAGTCTCTGGCAAACGGCTGTTACTTCAGCAAATTACTAGAAATAAAACAATAATATATCTATTTATTACCAGCGCATCCTAAATGCGACATATCGTAGATAATTCTGCTGCGGTTAATTGGAGGTAAGATTTGGAGGAAAGCTGATATGATACAAGTAGGTATATAACCAGCCCAAATCGTAACGTGTATCCTAAAAGTTTTGGCACAAAATTCATTGCCTTCAATTTTAACAAACACAAAATAATATCAAGTTGCCTTTGAAAACAACAGTTTGCTTACTTACTTCACTGTCGGTTGACATTTGTATATATATATATATATATAGGTGAAAAATTAAAGCTTCCGCCTTTTGTTGGGTACTTCGACAAAATTTAAGCAAAGAGGACTCTTTATACTTTTTTAATTCTCTCTAGCTTTCAATGGACTTTGCCATCATCATCAGGAGCTGCAATTACAATGATAACAGTAGCAACAAAAGTGTAAAATGAATTTAAATTGACTCAACTTACAGTAGTATGTGAGGATGTTGCTAATTGTTGTTTACGTATAGGATGAGGGAAACGTCCAGTAACATGGTGAGAGCTGGATAGATGGTACAATGGTCAAAATTATATAAAATATGACAAGAACAAGTTAAAAACAGATTAAAAATTATTTAAAAAACATTAGAGCATTACATCGTGAAGCCACTTGATGATTGCACAAAATGGTGGTCATGGAATAATGAGTGAGATGAACCCTTTGACAGAAGGCCGAAGGTTGTCAATGTCTGTGTTGAAAGATGGAACGAATTGTGGGCGTGTGCCAAACGTTGCCAAATCACTTCAGATGATGTGATTTTCAGAATGTTATGTAAGAAATTGATAAACCGACTAGAGGCAGTTGAATAAACTATATTTTAATTAATGGGAATTTAAATTAACAATTATTAATAAATCGTGAGAAGAGAATTATTAGATTTTGAGTGGAATGAAATTTACTGGTGAAATCGGCCAAAACATAGATTCTATTTATGGTTGCGAAGAGTCGAAATTTGGGGAGATATGTAAGTTCTCCAATTTTTCGCAGTTTAGCAAATATGAGTAAATGACACTCAGTTGTTTAACATCTGTCTTTTTGTTGATACAGTTGTTATTCATGAAAATGTGGGACATTTCCAGGAATAACCATTTGGAAAGGTGTTTTTCTTTATCAAGAACTTTGATACTTGTGTAATTCATAGAATGCCCTGTTGTGTTAACATGAGATGCTAGAGCGCATCTTTCAGGATGAAGCCTAGAATCACTTTTGTGTGATGTAATCCTTCCTTTAAGAGATCTGGAGGTCTGACCTATGTATATTTGGTTGCAGTTGTTGCAATTGATGGAGTAGACTGTGTTGGTTAAGCCAAGCAGCGGGATTTTGTCTTTCATTTTTGAAAAAATGCAGTTTATAGTGAGGACGGATTAACAATTTCTTACATAACATTCTGAAAATCACATCATCTGAAGTGATTTGGCAACGTTTGGCACACGCCCACAATTCGTTCCATCTTTCAACACAGACATTGACAACCTTCGGCCTTCTGTCAAAAGGTTCATCTCACTCATTATTCCATGACCACCATTTTGTGCAATCATCAAGTGGCTTCACGATGTAATGCTCTAATGTTTTTTAAATAATTTTTAATCTGTTTTTAACTTGTTCTTGTCATATTTTATATAATTTTGACCATTGTACCATCTATCCAGCTCTCACCATGTTACTGGACGTTTCCCTCATCCTATACGTAAACAACAATTAGCAACATCCTCACATACTACTGTAAGTTGAGTCAATTTAAATTCATTTTACACTTTTGTTACTACTGTTATCATTGTAATTGCAGCTCCTGATGATGATGGCAAAGTCCATTGAAAGCTAGAGAGAATTAAAAAAGTATAAAGAGTCCTATTTGCTTAAATTTTGTCGAAGTACCCAACAAAAGGCGGAAGCTTTAATTTTTCACCTAACTGGTCTAGACGACAATGACCACGTCTCAAGTTATATATATATATATATATATATATATATATAACAGAAAATAGGAAAATAATGGGCAAAATCCACAAAAAGAAGGAAAGTGAATTCCAGCAGAAAATAGGATAGGTAACCCGAGCGATACGTATTTCTGCTGGTTGGCTTCATCAGGCCCGAAATGAATACACATATGTAACTACAAAAGTAGATCCACATGCCCATACATCGACATATGGGTGTAACCTGAGG